ACAATATTCTATACTCAAACTCCAAAATGTATGTTCTCAATGTTATTTGAAATTCCAAAATAAAACTAATATTGTGCCATATTAAATTAAGGCAGTAGGACAAAACACTCTTTTATTTCTATGTCTTACCTCTCTTGAAAAATCACTGAATTAAATTTTGAACCAGGATTAGCTAAGGGCAGTATCTCTGTCCTGGTTTAGATCCACTGTCTAGTCTATCTAAAATTTCATTTTTAAATTCCCATGCCTGTCCATGTCCATGTTGATTAGTCTGTAGACTAATACATCCATTTGACAAATATTTATTAAGTGCCTACTATGCGCCAGGCAGTAGTTTAAGTTTATTGGACTCAAAAGTGAGTTAAACAGACAAACATCCTGGCCCTTGTGGAGTTCACCCTGCTTTAATCAGAGTCGGGATGCTAATTGTAGTGAGCACTCTGTATCTCTGTCAGCAGTTGCACAGCATTTAGCCTTTGCAGAACCAACTTTTCAGAAATCTTAGTGATTTCCTTTCTTGATATTTGCAACATTTGTACAAATGATAATGATATGATGTTCCTCTCATGTAAATGCCTGATGCAAAAAGAATGTAGAGCCCTTCATAAATTTTGATATGAATAGAATAACTATTCATATAGAATGTGGACTATGCCTTCTGAAAATAAAAAGCTTTCCCCGTTGTTTCTTTTATCCTACCAGCATACATCCCCATTACCCAGCAACTGGAATTAAACTTATGAGTTTGTTGTTTTGCTGGGGTTTGGTTGTTTAATTATTTTCTGATCACTAAAATATTGGTTATACTATCAGCCTTTGTAACCAATGAACAATTGTTTACTTTCTCTTATTTGGCTGTAGTTAACTAGCTGTTTTGAGATAACAACATAATCCTTAGTTCTCAACATTCTCCAAGAAGACCTATGCTATATAATATGAAAACTATTTAAAATGTTAATATGATTTTTACTTTTGAACATCAGTTACACATTATGACCTACATAACAAATGTATTTTATTTATTTATTTCAAATTTTTAGTATATTCTTCCAAATTCACTAGACTAAGGATTTCGTATTATGCTATTTTGCAGTAGAATTCAAAAGACACTTGTTTTATACTTAAGCTTTGTCCGATGTAATTTTTTTTCTTTTTTGTTTAGAAAAAAATTAAATGATAGTATTTCTTTTAGGGCATATCTTCATTTTTGTTAACTAAAAGACAGGGGGGTAGAAAATATTAACAAAGAGTTCCAAGTGTCACATTAGAAAACTAAATCTCTTTCTTATCAGTGAGTTCCTAGAAAAAAATAAATAAATGCAACAAAACTAAACCACCTAGTAATTGTTCACTTCATCTAGTACAGTTCCTGAAAGCAGACAGGTCAAACTCTCTGGGGATGTCTGAGTGATGCTCTCCTCTCCTACCACAGCAAACCTTAAATAAATTCGTCATCCACTTTAGAAGGCTAGAAAAAAATTAGAAAAGGGAGTGTTTGTAAATGTAAACTGCGTAGAGATCCGTTTGTCCCGGAAGTCTTTTTTGGCTGCCTTGGCTTAAATTGGGTGCTGCCCCTGCATATATATCATGTTGCTCAGCACACTAGAAATTGTCCCCTGCATGTTCCTCATTATACTGCACACTCCATGAGAGCAGGGTTGTGGCTTTATCTCAGAGCCTGGACAGTGCCTGGCGTATAGTCGGCAGCCAGTCAGCGTGTGTGAATGTGTATATGTAAGAGAATTCCAATGAGCTTCTCTAGCTCTGGTTTTGCCTTTTCCGCTTTATCTTATTTTCCTTTACTGGCTTAAGTTTTTTTTTTTTTTAATAGAGTTTCTTGTATAATTAAATGATCATTTGGTTCTTAAGTGATCATTTGGTATATAATTAAGTAATTATTATGATCACTGTGATCAGTAATCTATGACATGTTTTATTTTTTCTGTCTTGAGGTTTAAGTTAGTAAGATAATATATGCTTATTTAAATAAAATCTGTATGTTGCAATGGTATGTTCTTTGTGTATTTTTAAAATTAGCTTCTTTCTTTTTCCTTTGTATTTAAATTTGACTTTTATCGAGGAAATACATGCACAGAGTTAAAAAATCAAATGAAACAAAAAGCTTTTTATAATGAAAAACAGCAGTCCTCTGGCTCGTGCCTTTCCACTACCCGGTCCAGCTCTCCAGAGGCAACAGGTTCCTGGTATTTACATCCATAGTTAAATGATATGCTTATGCTTATTGCTATTTCTTGATTTATCAATTTTTGACATTAATTTTGAGTAATGAAAATGGAGAAACTAGTGGGAGAGAAAGGTGTGTAAATAAAAAAGTGAAATAAAATCTAAGTTAATATACACTACAGTAGAGTTCTGTGCAGGGTGTTTTGGATCCATAAAGAGCGAGTAGGCATTTTAGGTCTTCCAAATTGCTTTTAAGAATAATGGTATTGGGGCCGGCCCCGTGGCTTAGCGGTTAAGTGTGCGCACTCCGCTACTGGCGGCCCGGGTTCGGATCCCGGGCGGGCACCAACACACCACTTCTCCGGCCATGCTGAGGCCGCATCCCACATACAGCAACTAGAAGGATGTGCAACTATGACATACAACTATCTACTGGGGCTTTGGGGAAAAAGAAAAAAAGGAGGAGGATTGGCAAGAGATGTTAGCTCAGAGCCGGTCTTCCTCAGCAAAAAAAGGAGGATTGGCGTGGACGTCAGCTCAGGGCTGCTCTTCCTCACCAAAAAAAAAAAAAGAAGAACAGTATTGTTTATGCTTCCATTAGCAGTAAACAAGAGAGTGCTCATCTTTCTGTATTTTTGCCAGTGCTGGGTAGAATCCAGCATTCAAATTTATGCTATTCTGATGACGTAAAGTGGTATCTCATTGGTTTTTTAATTTGCATCTTCCTGATAACTGGTGATTTTGAGCATTTTAAACTATATTTGATAGCCATTCTGGCTTCCCCTTCTGAGAAACTGCCTTTTCAGGTTTTTTGCTCATTTTTCTATTAGTTTCCTCTGAGTATATATGTTAATATTAATTTCATCTTGGTTTTAGGTCTTCTCTCAGTTTATCTATGAAATTATCTGTGATATCCTTCACTGAAAAATTCTCATTGTGTTTTAGCCAAATCCGTCAATTTTGTGCCTTATTATTTGTGCTTTTTAGGTCTTGCTTCAGAATTGTTACTTCCAAGTCTCAAAAATAGTTACCTAAATTTTTTCTATTATCTTTGAAAAGATAACTTTCACATTTAAAACTCTTTAATCTCATTGGAATCCAAATTTGTTTATGGTGTAAAATAAGGACCTAAGTTTATTTTTTGCCATATTCTGAGACTAATTTTCTTTCTCCACACAATGAGTCAACAACACCAACCTTTTCTTTTACTTTGTGATATTACCCTTATCATACATGGAGCTCTCATTGATATGTGGGCTTATTTCTGAATTCTATATCCCTGAGTCTGCACTTAGCTTTGTAATATAACCTAATACTTGGTAGAGTGGATTCCTTCTCTTTGCCCTTCATTTTTGAATTTTACTTTGATATTAATAGACCTTTTGTAAAATATACTTTTAAAATAGGTTTGTAGATTTTCTTTAAAAATCTAGAATTTATGGATTGATTTAGGAAAAATTGATATCCATGAATATAGGGAAGGGAAAATAAGCCAGTATGGAATTAGGAAATAATTTAGACTGCTACGTTGTAATAAGAAATCTGTTTCTTTTGGTGGCATATAGCAGGCAGGAAATAATTATAGAAGAAAGATTAACACAAAGAAAGTCAAGAGTGCAGCCTACTCACGTGCAAAATTTTATCTTCAGGAGAAATATGGACAAGAGGAGCAATAGAGAAAGAATGCTGGAATGTAAAGAACAGGAGTTTGAATTACCTTAATTTTTGTGACTTTGAGTTACCTTGATACTTATGATTAACTAAAACAATGGTTTGAAGTCATACTTTGCAGAATATCTAAGGCTTTGTGGAATACCCCCCAAGGTATCTGGGGAAAGAAGAATGGTAGCACTATTTGGGGTTCTGATTTAACCAGAATACTTCATTTTTATCTGTTTCATTAATTGACTCCTCACTAAGATTTCATTGGAAGAAAGGATTTTTAGCCAAAAGGTTTGGAAATGATTTAAATAAAATTAGTGAAGTGTCTAAAATGTTCAACAAAAGTGGCATATGATGTCATTCATCCCTTTCAATGCCTATGACAGACATTGCTAATTGAACACAGTACTCCTTCCTGCTGCGGACTCAGGTTTAGTCTCCATACAGCTTTCCATGTAGTCACTACCAATCAATTAGTATATGAGTCAAAACCCATTTACTTGCTATACATTATAGGAATTACTATAATTTTATTGGACCATCAGAACACTTTTTTTAACCTGAGAAAGGTATGAGCTAAATTTTTCAGATTAAAGAAAGATTTCACTAGAAGAGAGAGTGGTTAAATAGGAAATGGGTCTGGAAAATACAAATTTAAATAAGTATTAAGGTAATAACCCTCCATTGTGATTATGAGGAGAAAATGCTTACTTCCAATTTGCTAATTGTGAGAAGGTCTACAAAGCTCATTAAGTGTGTGTTGAAGAGGCAATTGAAATCAGTTATATTTTCAGTTGGGAACCTTGAGATGTAAATAGTTTTATTCTATAAATTATAAGATTTAATCACCAGAAGTTTAAACCTGCCAAATCAATGTAAGAGTGGGAAATAAAATCTGCAGTTTTAGAAATGCATCTCATGCTGTCTCAGTGGTCCTTGCTTTGTACCAAACAATGGATTTACAGTTCTCTAAATTAAAATGTAGAAAAGCATTTTCCTACTTATTTGAAGATTCACAAAACAGTGAATGTATTAACAAGTATCTTTATTGGAAGTTGAATATGTTTTGTGTTCTATGAAGTCATTGAGATAATTGTGACATACATTCAAAGTTACTTTTCAAAGCAGTGACAATTTTTTGTCCCTGTTAACAGGGCTACTCTAATGTGATGCTGGGATTGAATTTACCTAGGACTCCACGTCAAGGTTGACTTGAAAGTCTTGTGGAAGATCTGGAAGAAATAGGTAAGTGGCCCTTTCGGTAATAGTTCTCTTTTGTTCATTGTGCTTTGTCTTGTTTTTCTAATGTTTATTTTATTCTTTAATTTTTTGGTTAAATATCTTTGCCCGAAGGTTGAAAAAAGTTATCAGTGAACCAGAGAGACATGTCAAGTATGGCAGTAGAACTATTTACCGCTGTCTCTTCTCTTAGGCTTCCCATTCACGGCTTCTCATTCACTCCTTGCTGTGTATTCTCTTCCTATTAAACTTGGTCTCACTTTTTTTGAAATTTAACATAAATTTATTTGGAATGTGAATTTGGTTTTGAAATATTGAAGGGAAATTATTAGTCCAGAAAAGCACTTGGAGTATTTTCTGTTACCATTATGCTAGCCTTTTATTACTGATGTTTTCAGTATTATTTTATTAAGATTCAATTGATATTAAGGTTTTTGGGGATCTAGAAATGTCAGAAAATAAAGAGAATAACATACTAGTAATGCTTTTTTTTCTTGAAAGTTTGATTTTTTTTAAACTTCGAGACCCAGCAAATCAACTGTTTAGAAAGGATTTGTTTTCTTTTTAATATTACACTTCTTTAAATCTAATGGTAGTTTTCCTTGATATTTACAATGTCAATTTAGAGAACTTTAAATCCATTGTTTTGTACAAAGCAAGAACCACAGAAACAGCATGTGATACGTTGCCAAAAGGTGCAGATTTTATTTCCCATGCTTACTCAATATATAAAGTTTCTGTAAAATTAGTTTTTCAGTGTCACTGTGGATCTGTGGTATCCATCAAGCAGTATGTCATAGGTGGCCAAATCTGTAATAATATAATTATAAAAAGAAAACTAAAAGAAATTTTAGGTGAAGAGTTTACATCATCGTTTCTCTCCCTAGTGTTTATCCCCAGAGTCTTTATCTCTCCCAAGAACCATGGTGCCCTGGCTTCTTCAGAATTCTTTTTCTTTTCTTGCCCACTCCACTCAGAATTCCTTATCCAGGGAGATCACCATACGTATAAGACAGGCCTCAGCATGCTCACTGTTCTGCCTCTGTTGCTCTACTCATTTCTAAAACTTTCTCCAGAAAGACTCCATAACTTCCCTGAGAGATTTTTGTCAATGTGCTTGAATTATAGTCAGATATTTCTTAGGTATCTTACCTACAATTTTGTCTACCTTATCATTTTGCTAGACATACAAACAAAATGATTCCACATTTATTTAGCATTTAAGTTTTTTGAAGCGCTTTAGCAGCTTTTTATTTCATTTTACTCTTTCATTAAACTCATTAATTTCACTCTTGCATTGCTTATGATGTAAGTAAGGCTAACAGTATTATCCTTTGTTTAGTAAGTGGAGAAACTAAAAGACAAAGAATTTAAATGATTTGGAAAAAGTAATATAGCTTGTTCTGATTTTACTGCTAATAATAAACAATTGAGTGTTATTAGAACCATATCTGATAACACCCAATTTTTTTTTTTCTGAGTTGTATAATTTATGCTTACTATAGACAGTGGTTATGTTGATATATTCCATCTTAGTAAGACCTTTTAAATTATAATTATAAAATTATATAATATTATAATATTATTATTATATTATATAATATTATAATAATAATATTATTATAATATTATATAATTTAAATTATAATTTTTTGAGTAACAAGACATTTGTTTTGATAATAGCAGAGAGATTTTAGATTTCTAAGCAGTAGTTACCTGACAATGAACATCATGGAACCATGAAAGAAACAATTTTTAGAAAATACAGTGTCTGGGGCCGGCCATGTGGCATAGTGGTTAAGTGTGTGCGCTCCGCTGCTGGAGGCCCGGGTTCAGATCCTGGGTGCGCCCTGACACACCACTTGTCGGGCCGTGCTGTGGCGGCGTCCCACATAAAGTGGAGGAAGATGGGCATGGATGTTAGCTCAGGGCCAGTCTTCCTCAGCAAAAAGAGGAAGATTGGCATGGATGTTAGCTCAGGGCTGATCTTCCTCACCAAAAAAAAAAAAGAAGAAAATAGAGTGTCTTCTCAAAAGGGAACATAATTGTGTTTGAAGTTAGTCCTTAACTTCTCGAACTTGTTAATTAGACTTTTTCTGGTCATATGCTTATAGTAGCAGTTTTATATATTTTGAAGTGAAGACCAATCACATAGGTAAATAATGCATATGCATGATGCCAATAGTTCATCTTAATGGAAAAATACTTTCTGAAAAAGTGTTTTGTCATGGAAATATATAGAATTATATTTTTATCTGTATATAAAAATATATACAGTCTGGTAGGTACAGGTTTGCATCCTTATAGCCAATTGTTAGTTTTTTTAATCAACCTCAGTTAATTTCCTTAAATCTTTGCACTTTGGTTTTCAAACAGTAAAGTGAAGGACAGATATACCTGTTCGTTGGATTATTGTAAAGATTTAGCACTTGATACAGAGCTGTTTTCAAGAAATATTAATTTTCTTCTTCCCTTTCCACTCCTCTGTTCCCTTCCCCCCCAAAATCCCTAAAGTGAATCCCTTGGTTGAATCTTCCTGTTTTCCAGCAATTTATTTAGTATTCTCCCCATTTTACCTCTCAGAGAGGTTAACTAACCTGCCCAAGGTTATACTTATAAAATGGGAACTAAAATGTTGTTTCATACAACTTAGAGTGTTTACGTATATGGGTAAATGGGTAGTTCGGTGAGTGTATATGTGTATGTGCATATTTTACTTCATGATATTCACAATTATTATCAGAATTTCCATTGTAAGAGTATTAAATCCAAATAAAATATCAATTTTAGTTATTTCAATGGAGTAGAAATAAACTTCATTCACATACTTATGGAAAAATTGCTATAAGTTTCATGATACTTCTTAAAAATTAGGCATCATACATGACAAAATATTTGCTCTAATTGTCAAATCATTGAAATGTAAATGGACTGTGCAGGATGCTTATTTGGCTGAGGAGGGGCCGGGTCGGCATTCAGATACATGGTGTGCTGACATCCCTGGGCAAAAAGAAGCAGAGCAAAGACTACAGATAGAGAGCTATAGAGTGTACCTGAGATTGCCAGCTTGGAGATCAGATTGCCTAGATTTGAATTATGGTTCCAAAACAAACCTACCATATGTGAAAACTTGGGCAAATTGTTTAAACTCTCTGTTCCTTAATTTCTGAATCTAGAAAATAGAGATAATAATACCTACTTCATGGAGTTGATTTGAGGACTAAATGTGTGAATATATATAAAAGGCACAGTAAGCATTAAAATAAAAGTTAGTTGCTGTTTTGTTCTCTATTATATTAGTTTCAAAGGTTGACTGTATTGTCCAGGCCACTTGGCAAATATCCTGCATAGCGTTCTAATCGTGGTCCAAGAAATGGTAAAAATGAGTTGATTCTATAAATGTGCTCTCTGTGTTTTAGTTAGCGTGTTTTCTATTGCTATGTAACAAGTGACCACATATTTAGAAGCTTAAAACAAGGTACACTTATTATCTCATGGTTTCCATGGGTCAGGAGTCCAGGCATGGCTTAGCTCAGGGTCTGCAATCAAAATACTGGCTAGTCTGCATTTTCATTTGGAGTTCAGGATCTTCTTCCAAACTCACTGGTTTGGGAGCAAATTCAGTTCATTGCAGTTGTAGGACTGAGATCCTCAGCTCCTAGAGGCCAGCCATGGTTCCTATCCTTGTGGCCTTCTCTAAATGCAGTTCACATCAAAGCAGCTTGCTTCTTTAAAGCCAGCAGGAGAGCTTCTACTGCATGCCAACAAGATAGAGTCATATACGTTTGTGTGTTAATGTAATCGTTGAAGTGACGTCCCATATCCTTTGCCATGTGCTATTGGTTAGAAGTAAGTCAGAGTCCTGCTCGCATGCAAGGGAGGGGAATTATACAGGACATGAACGTGGGTCTATTCTGCCATAGCATGGTAAACTTCTTAGTTTGAAATTCATGTGACCTATTATTTTATATTTTTACAATTATGTAATAATTAATAGAAAAGGAATATTGTCACTAATTGTAAAATTTTATTCTCAGATAGTTATGCTTACGGTATAACTCCCAACAGACCATTCCTTCCTGACTAATATTTATTCATTATTTCAAGCTGGGTAACCATGAGACTAAATATAGCCTACCTTGGTACTTAATCCTCTTTAGAATCTGACAAAACCCAAATATCCAAACTTTTCTCCCCATTACTCTAATATGTATACCTTGAACTATACGCCTTACACTTGCCCGCATCTTTGTCAATGTAAATTCTGTTGTTTCTTTCCTTTTCACCATCTCTTTAAAGCACATTTAAATTTCTTCTTCTTCTATTACACTTTTCCTGTTTCTTTCCTCCTTTTTAGCCAGCCCAGGACTTTTCCCACATAGTATTCTATCTGTATTACCTGCAGCCTTGCATATAATAGTATCCTAAGAAATATTCATTGAATATATAATAATACCTTCTTGATTTAAAACATAGGTCAGTTTGAGAGTTATATTCATTTTTAAATCATATTTCAAAGAATGTTCTTCATAAATTATCTACTCTTACATTGACTCAGTGGTCTGAAGTGTACCTCAAACAACCCTTTAAGAATCCATTACAATTTACACATTTGGAACTGATCGCACATGGGAAGAATGTGAATAATTGGGGTCCAGAGGGTGGGCTGTGGTAGGCAGCCTATAAGATGGTCCTTAATGATCCCTGTCTCCTGGTTTTCACAGCATTGTGTTTTTCCTCCCATATTTACCAGAGTTGGTCTATGTGGCCAATAGAATATTGCACAAGTGATGGTATGTTGCTTTTCAGATTAGGTTATACAAGATATTAAGACGTTTGTTTTGGGTGTTCTTTCTTTCTCATTTCTATTTCTCTCCCTCCCGTTTCCCTCTCTGACTCATGACTTGCTCTGGGGGAGTCTAGCTGCCATGGGGAGGTCCCTGTGGTGAAGAACTAAGCTCTCTGGCCAACAGACAGGGAGGAACTGGCAATAACCTGCAACTTCC